GTGTCTTTTGGCCATTTGAACTTCTTCTGTTGAGAGATCTCTGTTCAGCTCAGTGCCCCATTTTATAATTGGGTTGATTAGCCTTTTACGGTCTAGTTTCTTGAGTTCTTTATATATTTTGGAGATCAGACCTTTGTCCTTTCTTGTTTTTAAAAACCAGAATGTTCCCTAATGTCTATGAACCTAAAAGCATTGGACAACTGGGTTTATTCTATTCTGCTCTGTATTTTTATAAAATCTGATGGGAGAATGGATACAGGTGCCCCTCTGAGTGTCTGAGGTGCATTTTACAGCTGACAGGCCATATGACAGACTATATGAGAGTCTGATGAACTGAAAGAAAGGCTGCCTTTCTAGCTTCCTATATGACAGACTAGTGACAGTCAACAAGGACTGAAAGAAGTGTTTTCTATGTCTTTTGTTGGGACACGGGGCTGTAGATAAGAAAAGTAGACACTGCCTGCTGCCTCCCGTTCCTCTTGAGTGTGAATCCACCTTACATTTCTAAGTATGTCTTGAATTTGATGTAGACTTTATGTAGATATTATGAAGAATTTAACTTCTAGACATGAGCAGAAGTAACATGCAGTATTCCTAATGCAAAACCAGTAAAATCTCAAGCATGTCCCACTCAATGTATACTGAAAACCACCCAGAACAAAAGTCCCCTACAACAGCAAGACTTGAACACAAAATATAGATTAAGCAGAAAAAAAGTGACCTAAAAATAACTTTAGGAGAATGCTTGGGACCCTTAAAGAGGAAATGAAAAATTTCCTCAAAGAAATAGAGGAAAAGACAAACAAAAATTGGGAGAAATAAACAAATCTCTTAAAGAAAGCCAAGAAAAATAAATCAAACAGATGAAAGAAACACCTTATGGAACCTTCTCAAAAACTGACAACATACTAGGTAACAAAGAAAACCTCAACAGATACAAAAAATTGTAATAACCCCATGTATCTTATGCCTTTGTTAGGGTTACTATTACTGTGATGAAACACCAGGACCAAAGCAACCTAAGGAGGAAAGGGTTTTGTGGGGGAGGGAGGGAGAGGTTGGCTTATGCTTCCACATCACTGTTCATTATCAAATGAAGTAAGGACAGGAACTCAATCAGGGTAGGAACCTGTAGGCAGGAGCTGATGCAGAGGCCATGGACTGGTACTGCTTACTGACTTCTTCATCATGGCTTGCTCAGCCTCTGTTCTTATAGAATTCAGCACCACCAATCCAGGGATGAGACCACCCACCATGGGCTGGTCCCTTCCCTATCAATCATACTTAAGAAAATGCTCTATAGCTGAATCTTATGGAAACATTTTATCAATTGAGGCTCTCCCCTCTCAGATGACTCTTAACTTGTTTCAATTTGATATAAAAATAGGAGCACACTTACTGAGGAAAACTTGTATAGTTAAGAGTATCAAATTACGTAAGCTAATGGTTCAGTTCCTGACTCAGTTGCAAACCCAAAGCATTTTTTAAATAAAATCTTATAGTGCAGTAGGAACTATTTTAAATATGTCTAGATTAATTTTGTCTCAAATGAATAACATTATTTTCTAACTTTAGGCCATAACTTTTCTAGTATAAGAGAACACGAGTATACATAAAAATAAATTTACAAATAAAAGATATCTTAAGTCAAGGTAACCTAAATGTTAATGTATGACACCACAAACTAAAAAGACAATGTGACAATAAGCTTTACCTCATTACGGTCAAAATCACATGACTGCTTATGATGTAATTCGTTCAAAGGAGCATCATACCTAAGAATTAATTTAAAAAATGTATTAAAGCATATTTCCTCTCACAGTTATTATTCTAAGTTTTGGTTTCAAATCAGAATTATATGAGAAGCTTCTTAAAAATGCAAGTACTATGCCAAACTACTCATTTAATATGTATGTTAAATGTCTATATTTTCTATGTACTTGCATATTGTGTATGTACACATGTGTGTACAAGAATGTGTGTGCACATGCAAATCAGAATTATGTGGGAATCTTCTTAAAAATATGGATTTGCAAGTACTATGTCAAAATACTCATTTATTTTAGTATGTAGGTTAAATGTCTATATTTTCTATTTACTTGCATATTTGTGTCTGTACATAAGTATTGTGCACAACATGTGTGTGCACATGTGGATGCCAGAGTTCAACCTCAAGTGTTGTTCTTAAGGAGGCATCAGTGGGGAAAGCTAGCAGTCAACAGGCCCCAGAGATCCTCCTGTGGTCCTCACTCCTCAGTGTTGGGATTAGCAGTGTGCACCAATGCACCTGGCTCTTTTACATAGTGCAGGAATCAAACTCAGGTCCCAGTGTTTGTGTACCAAATCATTCTGAGTCAAATTCCCAGCCCTGAAACATCTATATTATAACACAATAACTCCAAGGAATCTAAATCTACACTCAAGATTCAGAATCAGGTTCTTGTTTTCTTTTTCTGTTTTGTTATTGCTCTTTAGAAACATAGTGCCATGCATCCTAAGTCACTTTTTTTCCTAAGTCACTTTTTAAAAGCTGAATTTAAAACTCAAAGTCAAACAAAATGTCTTACTCATAAACTTCCAGATAATTGAGAAACAAGGAATTTAATTTCTCAATTTTAGATCTACATTATGTACCTAAGTTTTAATTAATAAAACTAATTCCATTAAAATGGCGTGTTTTATTTCTTCTATCAATGGATACTTTAAAGATTTCCATAAGCCAGGAGGTAGTGACACACACCTTTAATCCCAGCACTTAGGGGGCAGATGTAGGCAGATCTCTATGAGTTTGAGGCCAGCCTGGTCTACAAAGTGAGTTCCAGAACAGCTCTCTGTGACACAGAGAAAACCTGTCTCAACACCCAACCCCCAAAAAAGATTTCTATAAGAAATCACTTTTACAATAAAAATATGAATAAGTAAATTTTAACTCATGAAGATCTGACTAAATTATTATTACTAAGAAAAATAGGACTATTCAGGAACTATGAGCTAAAATAATGTTTCCCTCATTATCTATAATTTTGTAGGAAAGCCAGTAAGGGTATCCTCAAAACTCAAAGGAATAAACCATGTCTGTTGATCCAATTAAAACCCTTAAGACACAAAATATGTTTTATACCACCAGCAGTAGAAAGCTAGATCTGGCAATACATCGTTGTTTCCATGTAACAAAAAGCGTAAGAATGATGAAATAAGGGACGGCAACCCTCAGCATATCTATTCTGACACACAGGGAGACTGTAGGAGGGGAATGCTAGCAAGCAAGGATGTAGAACACAAACTGTTGCAGAGTGGGGATAGTCTTGTTTATACTGCCTCACTGAACTCTCACACTCCATGCTGATTCTATACTAAACAAGCAACAAGTGAGACAATATGCTGTTTGTGCTAGTGAGTATTCTACCCATGTGATACTTCTATCTCTGTTACTCAATGAATTGCTATTTAGAAGATATATGGTGGATAGTCAACACTAAATGACCAGTTAAGGTCTTAGAGGCTGGAAACTGTGAACACCATAGGCTTAAGAAGTTGCTATTACACATAGTTAAAATAAAAAAGTGAGGCTTCTTTGAGACCAGTCTACTCACTACCCAACAAAACCATTATCATCTCATGTTCTGTTTGCTCACTTGAATACATTCATTATACTAGATCTTAAGTCAAAACTTACATAGAGCACATAGGGTATTCCCAGGTATTTCTCTGCACTGCTTTCTCTTGGTTATTACTTTCCATTTTTCCTTCAAAGAAAAAACTGAATTAAATTTAGCAACATTTATTTTCATTTTTAGTTCAAAGCATATTAGAAGGATGCACAGAGGGAAATTGGTGATCCATAATATAATATAATGAGTCCCAAAGAAAATCACACAGAGGTCTCCATAAGATTATAAACTGATTGGCCCATTAGCTCAGGCTTCTTATTAACTCTTGTAACTTATATCAACCCATTATTCTTAACTATGTTAGCCACATGGCTCAGTACCTTTTTTCAGCGGGGCAGGTCACATCTTGCTTCTTAGGTGGTTGAGGCAGGATTCCTGAGGGAGCTTCCTTCTTCCCAGAATACTACTGTTCTCATTTCCCTGCCTCTGCTTCCTGTCTGGCTACTGGCCAATCGGCATTTATTTAAAATGTAATTGACAAAATACAGACAATTCTTCCACACCATAATACAATTAAGCATTCTAATTGTGACTTTATGCACCTCTAAGCATATTAAATATACTGTATATACATAATTGTACACACACACACACACATATATATATATATATATATAAATGTAAAGTACATATAATATATCCCCTGGTATCTGATAGAAATTGGTTCTAAACCTTCCCCGAGTTACTCATTATCCCCACAGCCACTGAAATCCCTTGAAACACCAGTATCTTGCATTAAATGGCTCAATCTGCTGAGATAATGCATATACTCTCATATTCTTTATATCATCTCCAGGTGACTTAGACTAGCTGATACAATGGAATGCAGTTTATGGAAAGTTGTGTGTGTGTGTGTGTGTGTGTGTGTGTGTGTGCATGTGCATTCACATACGCAGTGTGTGGGTGGAAGTCAGAGAACAATGCTCAGGAGTTGGTTCTCTCCTTTGACATTGGGATCCAGGATTAAACTCAGGTCAGGAATAAGCCATCTCACCAACTCTGAGGATGATGTTAGTAAATAGCATAAATACTCTACTGGTTATGGAATAATGATAAAAATGTCTGTGTGTGTTCAGACAAGACATCTTAGATTTTATATAGTTAGTTGAATCTAAAAATATAGAATATTTGGATATGGAGAGTCAACTATATGTATATAATTAAATGAAACATGGTAATACATATTTATATAAAGATAAACTTAGTGTGCAATACCAACCTTTTCTTCCACAGCTGGTTAGGTGACAATCTTTCTCAAAAGAGCTTCTAAATTCATTTATTTCACTATCGCTGTATTCCTTCTGGTAGGGCTTCGTTGACCGACATGTTCCTAAGTAACTTGTACTAAGTGGAGGACTATGAAAAGCTGTCCGAGGAACTGTCAAATCCCCGTTAATGAACTCACCAGCGTAATGGCTTTCATCAGAAAAATCTACACAGGAGTCACTCAAACTACCAGAGCCACACTTGTGAAAGGCTGACATTCTCCCCGGCTGATCTCTGCTTAGTAAATTGATCATATTGGGACTAACAAAGGAGTCCATGTCGTGATTGGATGATGGATGTCTCGGAGTTGGCGGGATCACATGTTCTAAAAAATTAGAGAATGCTTTCCCATCATTCCTCCAAATCTGTTGCACCGCTGTTTTTTCCATAGCCAAGTCTGGTTGTCTTCTTTCACACAGGCTTCCACAATTTTCATCCATGATCACAGACCTTTTAGTAAGGAAAGCACCAGTTTCTGGACTTTGAAATAAATAGAATCATATTTAGCAGGAAAGGTTTGATCATTTTCATTTACAAACACTAGCTTAAATTGAAAACTACAAAGAGTTTACTGAAGAATGACTAGCATTTTCCCAAATGCATTTCAAATTTACTATTTAAAAATACAAATAATAATATTTTAGTGGAAATTTATTTAAAATATTCTAATAATAAACATGAAAATAATTTATACATGGTTCTGTATTTCAATGTGAAATTTAGTGCACAGTTTTATTTATTGGTATATTAGTGAAAAAATAATGTGATACTCAATAGTCTGACATCTACAGTACAGTCTAGCAAATAACCTAGTGTACCACTGTCTGCTGCTGCTGCTGTTAATCAAGCAGAGAAAAAAGTCTGAAGACTAGAGGAGGGGAGGAAGCTATATCATGTAAAAATATTTTTAAAGAGTTATAAAAACATTATCAAAGATATATTCCAATTTAATAATTGGGATAGTTACAAAGTTCTCAATAAAGAAAAAATAATGTAATTTATTTAAAATACAACCCACATGAAAGCTAATCAGGTGAACTAGGTAACCTATAAATTCTTTTCTTAAGCAAAAATAGAAACTCTGGGTTACGTCTAACTTGTGCATAATAACAAAAGCTGACAAAAAATATTAACAATAAAAATACCTTTTGTTCAACTGCTGTTGACTACAAAGCCATTTGAAATTGAACTATTTCAGGGAGTGGAAGTATAAAAAATTGAAAGAAATGCAAGACTGCTACCAAGAAATTTTTAATATTCATTTTATTTTCAATTATGCATATTTATTTATGTATATTGGGTGCAGTAAGTGCAGCTGAGAGTAGGTGTCTACAGGAACCAACAGTGTCAAATCCCTAAGAACTGGAGGATTTTAGCTGCCTGATATGGTGCTAAGAAGCAAACCAGGATTCCTGTAATAGCAGTATGTGCTCTTAACTGCTAAGCCATCTCTTCAGACTTAAGATTTTGATTTCTAATTTGATTTTTAACTACCTATTAAATATTTAAATACGATGTTCCAGGCACTAGGTCATGTGTTGGAAACAGAGAGAGAAAGACCTGCTAGTATTAAACATAGAGAAATTCTTGTTTGGGGCCTCATGCTCACAGATCAGGGCTCTCTGTGATTTCTCAATGAGCATCTAATTAGTATTTTATGCTAAAAGACATAATCCATTGTAATAACACACACAATTAAAGCCAGAAAAGTTTTCTACCATTATAAATGGGGGAATAATCATAGAACATGTGATAAGTTATAAAGCACACTATATGTTGAAATCGTATTTTATAATTTATTCCCAGCAGTATAACAGAAGAGTTACTAAGACGTGTAAAAAACAGAAGCAGCCACTCCCAAAAGACCTGAAATACAGTAAGGAAGGGAAAACAAAGATCATAGAACTGTTATCCTAGAGTCAAAGGCTAATGTAATAAACAAAAACTCTTCTACTCTAAGAAAATCATTAAGGGGCATCATCTAATGTAGGGGACCTCTTCAACAAACATTTCTGGGAAATTCAATGTCTACTTGGAGCAGATTAAAACTTCAATGCTACTTCTCAGCTTCTACAAAAATCAACCCACAACTGAACAAAGAACATATTAGAGAATATGCCAAGATACTAGCAATGGTTTTCTGGGCATTGCCATAAAGCACAGGAAACACAATAAATATTGACAAATGGTTTGTAGAAACTAAACAATAAAGAGAGTGTGGAGATAACCTATAGGATGTGAGGAAATATTTTCCCATTATTAATCTGTTAGAATCATCCCTAAAGCCCACATAATCAAATTTTAAAATGAGAAATTAGGCTTGAGAAAAGTCTCAGCAGTTAAGACAATGGCTGTTTGAACCTGAGTTTGATTTCTAGCACTTTGGTGGCTCACAGCCATCTATAACTCTAGTCCCTAGTGATCCAACATCCTCTTCTGGCCTCCTTCTGGCACCAGGCACACATGTAGTGCACAGACACACATGCAGACACACATTTATGCATACTGGATGAAATAATTTTTAAAAACTTTTTAAATGAGCAAATTATTTAAATAGATGCTTCTCAAAAGCATAAGTATGACTAAAATATATGAGAACACATACTCAGCATGATTAACCCTCAGGGAAATGCAAAGTGAGGCCTCAATGAGATAGCATCCCATGCCAGTTACAATGGCTACTTCTAAAAAAGAAAGTATAAACAAAAAATAAACAAATGCTGACCAGGAGATAAGCAGGAATTCTTACACACGATGTATGAAAATATAAACTAAAAATAGGATTGCTACTATAAAAGAACAGCATGAAGGTCCTGCAAAAGCTGCAAATGTAGCCGATGATCAAGCTAATTTTCTCCTTGGTATCTATCTCTCCAAAGAAATGAAATTAGCATACCCACAGTGCAGCTGCACAGCCACATATATATTGTAGCACTGTTCACTACATGAAGACATGAAATCAGGCTGCACGCCCATCAGCAGATAAATAGTTTTAAAATGCAGGATATCTTTCTAGAGTAGTATTTAGCATTAAAAATGAGGAAATCCTGTTGATTATATCAAAACTGATAAAACTAGAAAAGATTTTGTTACATGACAAACCCAGAAGGAGAAGGGAAAATATTCTTTCTCATATATAGATATAGAAATATTCTTTCTCATATGTAGATGCTATAAAACTATACCTTAGACTAGAAGAATGATTCCTGAAAGCTGGGAGAGACGTGGACTGCAATGAGTGGGAGGGAGAGGCTGGAACTGACATGTCCACACAATATTCACGGACAGAACTAGCATCTTGAAATTTGCTAGTATACACGGTATGTTAGTGTTTAAAAGGACAAAATTAAACTAACAAAAGGATGTGTTTCATTATAATGGTCTTTTTCTAGAATAGTACTTATATCTTCAACTAAAAATATTTATGTCCTTCTAAGAGCAAAGTACTGATGCAGAGCCCAGCACTCTATCCTTTCCTTCCACATTCTACTCACCCGTTTATTCTCTCAGATGATTCTCCAAACTCTGCTCTTTTCTGAGATGAACTGAAAATATCTTGATGTTTATTTAATTTGTAAAATAAGGAATCAGAAAAATCTCCATTACTGAACTAAAAAAGGAAGAAAATAACAAAACAATATGTACATGTTTACAATTTAAATTGTATTTACCTGTTTGCAGATAATTGCTAACTAATGTGTAATTATAACATGTATAGTCAAGAAAATGAATACTTAAGTATGTGTCATATAATGTTTTGTTTTCTATTCTACAAAGTAAATAATAGAATATGGAGTTTAAGCTGTATAAACAAAATTTTGTCTTTAAGATATAGGCAGATTCTCTAGGTGAATTCTCTCAGCCCTCCTTCTCATCCCTCTGTGGTCAGTTGACAATACCAAGAAACACTCTCTACCTGGGACCTCAGGTGGCCAACCTGGCTGGGACTCAGGTAGTTGATTTTGACTTTGACTCTCCATCTGATCTCCCATTCCAATCTCTCCAATCTCATTCCTAGCCTTGTAGCAATTGCTTTCAGGTGCCTCTCCTCCCGCCTCAGCTTCATTCACTGGAGACGCCAACTCCTGGTTCACAGAGTCCCCCTAGCTCTTTCATTTTTGTTTCTCTACAAGACATCACTGCAGCCTACTTTCCAGATCCCCTTGGTAAAATCATCACACCTTCAGTTCTCTGGGGACCCCATCTTTGACAGCATTCTCTCGGTTCTTCCCATATCCGCACTCAGCCTTTTCTCCTAGCCCATTTCTATTCCTCTCTGCCACTCGCTGACCTGCAGGAGCACTCTCTCCAGACAACAACAGTAAACACATATTCCTAAAATCCAGAAAAGGTAACAGAAACCATAAAGCAGAACAACCACACATCACCCCATAACAAGACCAGGTAACGACACCTAGGGAAAACTCTATTCTCCCAGCTCTAGCTGCCTGGACACCTGTACAAAAAAAAAAAAAAAAAAAAAAAAAAAAAAACACTAACAGCCAAGACAATATGTCATCTCCAGAACCCAGTAATTTTTCTATAGTAAGTCTTGAGAAATGCAATACAGCTGAAGCCCAAGAAAAGAGCTTCAAAATGGCAAGTATGAATATGTTCAAGGATGAATAAATAAATGACTTAAGACCATAAAATCATATACAAACAATGAATGAAATGTTGGGAACAAGACATCAAAGTAGAAACAGAATCACTAAATAAAACCCAAACTTGCATAAAACTGAAAATGGGAATTTAGGAATCTAAAGAAAAACATCACAGGTAAGCTTCATCAGCAGAGTGTGAGACATGGGAGAGCAGCACTGAAGAAAAGGGAGAAGAAATGGATCTCAGTTAAAGAAAACGTTGAATCTGAAAAAAATCCATGCACAAAACACCCAAGAAAATGGAAGACTGAAAATACCAAACATATGAATAAAAAGAATAGAGGGAAAAGATCCCCAGGTCAAAGGAACAAAAAATATTTTCAACAAAATCATAGAAGAAATTTTTTTCTAACGTAAAGAAGGAGGTGCCTATCAAGGTACATGAAGCAAACAGAACATAAAGTAGTACCAGAAAAAAAACTCTCCATAACACATAATAATCATAACACTAAATGTATGGAGCAAAGAAAGAATATTAAAAATATAATGTCAGATCCATTAGAATAACATCTGACTTCTCAATACAGACTCCAAAGCCAGAAGGGCCTGAATAACTCTAAGAACCACACTAATCAGTCCAGAACAGTATTCTCAGCAAAACCATTGATCACAATAGATGAAGAAGAACATTCCTAATTATTTTATTCCGGAATTAAAAACATAATGAAAACAAAGTTAAGTAGTATCTACTATGTACCAATACATCTCTACAGAAGACAGTAAAGAAAAACTTAAAACCTCCCAAACCACTAAATCAAAACAGGGAAATTCACACTAAACCAACAAAATAATCATAATCGATAAGCACAGGTCATTGATAATTCTGAATATTAAAGATTTCCTTCTCTAATAAAAAAAACACATCCTAAAAGATTGGATTAGAAAACATCTTTAGGTACATCCAAGAAACACATCACCAAGTGTAGAAAATACTTCAGGGTAAGAGGACTGAGAAAGATATTCCAAGCAAATGGACCCAAGAGAAGTAAGCAGATACAGCCATTTTGATATCTGAAAGAATAAACTTCAACTCAAAAATAATCAGAAGAGATAGGGAAGAACACTACATACTCATCAAAAAAAAAGGTAACATCTATACACCAAATATGAGGGCATCCAAGTTCACACACACACACACAAAACATCACCACTACAGGCTAAATTACATATTGACCCTTATATATTGATGATAGTGGGAGACTTGAATACCACACTCTTGCAAATAGGTCATTCAGATAAAACTAAACACACGACTTAGAAAATATTAGACTTAGAAGGTCATTAAATCATATTAGACTTAGAAAGTCATTAAATCATAACAAAAGATTCTCAGTACCTCATGAAACTTTCTCCAAAACTGACCACATACTTGGACATAAGTCTCAACAGATATAAGAAAATTGAAACAAAACAACCTGTTTTGATAACAGAGCATCATGGATTAAAGTTGAATATCAACAGCAAAAACAACAGAAAGTATACAAACTCATGGAAACTAAAAACTCATTAGTGAATGAAAACTATATCAAGACAGAAATTAAGAAAGAAATTAAAAACTTTCTAGAATTAATGAAATTAATTAATTAAATGAAAATAANAAAAACTTTCTAGAATTAATGAAATTAATTAATTAAATGAAAATAAAAACACAACATACCCAAACTTACAGGACACACAATTAAGGCAAGTCCATAGCACAAAGTTCTTAAATTAAAAAGAAATAAACAGAGTGAAATCGTGTTATCAACTTAACAACACCCCTGAAAGCTTTAGAATAAAAAGAAATAACACTTAAAAGGGATAAATGGCAAGAAATAATCAAACTCGGGGCTGGAGTCAATAGGAGAAACAGAAGAAACAATACAAAGAATCAATGAAATGATGAATTGGTTCTTTGAGAAGAATCAGTAAGATTGGTAAACCCCTAGCCAAATTAATCAAAAAATAGAGAGAGAAGATTAAATTAATAAAATTGGAGACATCACTACAGACACCAAATAAATCTAGAGAATTCTAAGGACATACTCTTAAGCCTGTGCTCCATCAAACTGGAAAACCTAAAAAAATAAAACAATAAATTCCTTAATATATTCACTCTAACAAAGTTAAATCAAGATCAGATCATCGATCTCTACATACTGATAAAGCCTGAATAATAAAGAACTGTTGGAGGTATCACCCTTCCTCATTTCAAGCTGTACAACAGTATGGTGCTGGCATAAAAAGAGACATGTTGATCAATGAAATTGAATTGGAGACCCAGATAGAAGCCCACACACATATAGGTACCTGTTTTTGTTTTGTTTTATAAAAATGTCAAAAAATACATGCTGGAGAAAAGACATCTTCAACAAATGATGCTGGTCAATCGGGATGGCTACATTTAGTAGAATAGAAATGGATCCATATTTCGATCAAGGACCTCAACATAAGGACAGATAACCCTGAATCTGATAGTAGAGAAAGTGTGAAATAGTTTTGAACTCATTGACAAAGGAAAGAATTTCTGAAGAGGACACCGAAAACACATGCACTAAGAACAATCAATAATGGGACCTCAGGATACTGAGAAGCTTCTGTATGACAAAGGACACCATTACCTGGAAAAAATGCCAGGCTACAGAATAGGGAAAGAGATTTTTACAATTATTCGTCTGATAAAAGGTTAATATCTAAAATGTATAAAGAACTCAAAAAATTGGACATCAAGAAAAATATAACCCAATTAAAAAGGGGTACAGAACTAAACAGAGTTTGCAAAAGAGGAGACACAAATCACTGAGAAACATTTAAAGAAATGTTCAACATCTTTAGTCATCGAAGAAATGAAAATCAAAACATCTTATACTAGTCAGAATGGCCAGATTAATAAAACAAAGGACAGCTCATGCTGGTAAGGGTGTAGGAAAAGGGGAATACATATGCATTGCTACTGGGAATACAAACTAGTACAGCCACTATGGAAATCAGTGTGGTGGTTCCTCAGAAAGGTGGGAATAGATCTATATCAAGATCCAGCTATACCACCCTTGGGCATATACCCTAAGACTGTACATCCTTCCACAGGGACACTTACTCATCCATGTTCATTGCTGTGTTGTTGATAATAATCATAAATTAGAAATAACATCATTTAGCTGATGAACAGATAAAGAAAATGTGGTACATTTATACAATGGAATAGGAATACTATTTGACTCTTTAAAAGCATAAAATATAAAATTCACAGGTTAATGGATGAAGCTAGAAAAACATCCTGAATAAGATAACCCAGATACACAAAAAAATATTTTATGTATTATTTTATTATGTGGATGTCAGAGTTTAAGACTTTGATAGTAATGCTATAATCCATATAACCACAGAGTTAGGTGTAAAGTAAGGGACTGTGGGGAGAGGAGGATCTCGCAAGGAAAGGAAAATGGAGTGCATAGTTAAAGAGAGAAGGGAGAGACCTGAATAGGAGGTTAAAATGAGGAGAGGGGACAGGCATAAGATGAAATATTATCCTTCATTTATCACCCTAAATTTGAAACCCATCTAAGTCAAATTTATGAAAAGGAGAACCTGTTATGGAAATATGACATCAAAGAAGTAATAATCCCAATGTACCTGCTCATTTTGCTTTATTTCAGATGCAAATTTCCAAGGATTTGGTGCTGTCCTTGGGGTGGAGTTTTGGTTTGGAATATGTTTGTTAGACGGTAATTCCACTGGAAGAGAGGGTGGAATACAACTGTAGTTTTCTGTTTTTTTGAACATTCTGTATGAGTTCATGTTTTGTGATGACTGTAGGAAAAGAAAAAACAAGATCACAAAAAGTACAGAAACTAGAAGTCAAAATAACAGAACTAAAATTAGGAGAAAGGGGGCATGACTACAAAAGAGGAAGTCCTATGGAAAGGCAGGTCACTGGTACTTCAGAGGAGTCCTGGAGGTCAGTGTCTACTTCAGAACGTCTCCCTCTGCTTTCCCGATCTGCCTTCTTCTCTCAAGCTCCTTTCCTGAATGTCACTTCTAATGACATAAAATCTTAGTTTCTCTAACCCATAAATCAGATGACAGGATGTCCAAGATATTTTATTACTATCATCAGCTTCCACTGCCTTTCTGATCTAGTTTAAACCTGACAATTCAAAGATAAAGAAGAATAATTAATATAGCATTGGGCGTTAAATAGAATTGCAAGTTTTAACCAACCTGTGTACTTTCTAATTCATTATGATTTTGTTTGCAAAAAATGTTATGCTTTTAAAAATTACCTTGTGATAAACATGAATTCTTAACATATAAATATAAATTGATAGAAATAATATTTTCATTACATTTGAACAAATGAACTGATCAGTAAATGTGTGAACATAACGAAAGACTCCCTCAGTGAGAGGTAGAGAAGGCTCTATCAGTAAACTGCTTGCTAGGCAAGTATAAGGACCAAGTTTGACTCCCCAAAACCTACATGTCAATGCTCATTTGCAATCCCAGTGATGGGGAGGGAAGAAGCAGGCCAGTTATTAGGGCTCACTAGACTTGCTGGCCAGTTAGTATAACTGAATCAACCAGCTCCAGTTGCAGAGAGACCTTGACTCAAAAAAGAAGTTGGAGAGTGAGTGACCTCTGATCTCCCATGCACACATACATATGCATCTACCTACTCGCCAATGAACACACACACATATCAATACTTAAAAATAATCTCTATATAAATTGTGCTTTGTAACTAACTCTTTGATAACTAGAAGAACCAAGCGCTAAGCATGCAAGGCCAACCACATTTCTATTGCTCCAAGGAAGCTTCATAACCAGAGTATTCCTTAGGAGTAAATTTCCTATATGTGAAAACTGCAAAAGGAATCATTCAGAAACTATAAAATAGTTAAAGGCTAACTAATTTTGCCTAGTTTTTTAACGGTAAGATTATCTAAGGGTTGGGAACAATTGTTAAAACAACTTACAATTTTCTTTAAAACTCACCTGACCTGGGTCAGTTCCTTCTGTGCGACATAATCTTTGATAGGGTACACTAAAGGAAACAAAAAAAATCAAGCATCCAATAAAATATATCTTCTGTGTACTTAAGTTTCTCAGTGTCTACACAAGCACTCAACATAGAAAACTCTGGTAAATTATGTAAAAGTAAGTTTTAAGGAAAAATATATTAAACTAGGATAGACATTTTCTTTACTTTTTAAAAAAAAATACTTACTGTATTTCAATCATCGGTGGTTTTGCCTGTGTGCTATGTCTGTATGAAGGTGTTGGATCCCCTGGAACTGGAGTTATAGACAGTTGTGAGCTGTCATGTGGGTGATAGGAATTGATCCCGGGTTCTCTGGAAGAGCAACTAGTGTTCCTAACCACTGAGCCACATTCCCAACCCCTGGCATTTTCTAATATAGAAAGTCAAATCACATGCACAAAACTCCATAAACACATGTCCTAATGGTTTTATAATATCATTAGACAAACAAGAACAGGAACTGGAAGGTAATGTCCTCAATTTCCCAGCAAACACACAAGTTGAAAGTGTTAACTTCTCTCAGTTAGTCACTGTCTTAGCTAGCACTTACTTAGTCCCCATGTCATCGATGCACAGTTTGGAAGGTACACAATGAGGTGACATTGGAAGTTCTAATGCATGCTTACTTAGTGGAATTTTCAAGTCTCTATTCATATTCACATGTATTGGTCTTTTCATGGTTTCTATAATAAAAAAGTTAAATAATAAATTTGAAATAGAAGCTTTAAAATATTTTGTTATATCATTCAATTGATTGTGCATTTGAAAATGTTCTTTTAAAACATGTTCTTTACATGTAATTACAGAAACTGACTGCTAACCACTATTAATGACATTTAATTTTTTCTCCTGCATTTTAGCCATTTATAAAGGGGCTCTACTAATTCAACACAATGTCCTCTTTCTGATCACTAGACTGTCTCAGACACTGTACAACATCTCCTCACAGCACTCTATCTTTTCTCTGTTTCAGCACTTTGCACATTTTATTACACTTGATCAACCCTATCACCATCAATAGACTGTAAACTTCTGAGCAATGCTTCTTAACCGTAGGTCACTACCCTTTGGGGGGCAAACGGCCCTTTGGTAGCTGTCTCTTAGACTACTGTAAAGCACAGATATTTACATTATGATTCAAAACAGTAAAAGTTACAGTTACAACTTAGCAATGAAATAACTTTATGATTGGGGTCGCCACAACATGAGGAATTGTATTAAATCGCAGCATTGGGGGCTGCGGCATTATGAAGGTTGAGAACCACTGTTTTAGAGGAAGGAGTCTCATATCATTTTATGAAGTAAGATCACTGTTTTATTTGCTCAGTACCCAGACCACCTACCAAGTTCTAGTGAGAATGTTCTCTCTTTCTGTACAACAGTTCAGAGGTAGACATTTGGACAAAGAAAAATTATTCTTCTGTCCCTCTAACCCAGTGCAACTGAGCAATTACTGGAGTCCAGCAGTAGCAAAAAGCATCTTCTAGCAGAACTTGAAAATTTGGAATGAAACAACCCATAGTCTTTCTCCTGAGGGAACTGGGCATGAGAAATAGTGGTTTCTTAAGACCAGCTTTTAAATGTTCATGATGAAGACAATCTTCATGAGGTATGGTGATATTTTGTTTGTGCTATAACAAATAGAGCTGCCTGAGGATCAGGGTGTGGAGCTAGCCACCAATTAGTCATAGAGGCCAGGCAATGTTGGCACAGGCCTTTAATCTCAACACTCATATGAGGCAGAGGCAGATAGATTGCTGTGAGTTCAAAAATACTCTGTGCTACAGTAGATTGATCCAGTCTCAAAGAGAAAACAGAGCTAGGCAGTGGTGGCTCACACCTTTAATCCCAGTACTTGAAAGATACATGTGTTTAATCCCAGCACTAGGGAGATGGAGACAGGGAGAGATATGGCTGGGCAGAGAGAGAAGATAGGAGCTGACCACACTGAACCTGATAGAAGATAAACTGGAAAGTAGCCTGCAATACATGGACACAGGAGACCACTTCCTGTGTATAACCCCAATAGCACAGACAATGAGAGCAACAATGAATAAATGGGACCTCCTGAAACTGATGAGCTTCTGTAAAGCAAAGGACACAGTCAATAAGACAAAAAGGCAACCTACTGAATGGGAGAAGATCTTCACCAACCCCACATCAGACAAAGGTCTGATCTCCAAAATATATAAAGAACTCAGGAAACTAGACATTAAAATTATAAATAATCCAATTAAAAAATGGGGTACTGAAATTCTCAACAGAAGAAGTTCAAATGGCCAAAAGATACTTAAGGTCATGCTCAACTTCCTTAGTGATCAGGGAAATGCAAATCAAAACAACTTTGAGATACCATCTTATACCTGTCAGAATGGCTAAAATAAAAAACACCAATGATAGCCTATGCTGGAGAGGATGTGGAGTAAGGGGAACACTCATCCATTGCTGGTGGGAATGCAAACTTGTGCAACCACTTTGGAAATCAGTATGGCAGTTTCTCAGAAAATTGGGAGTCAACCTACCTCAAGATCCAGCAATACCACTCTTGGGAATATACCAAGAGATGCCCAATCATACTACAAAAGCATTTGTGCAACTATGTTTATAGAAACATTATTTGTAATAACCAGAACCTGGAAACAACCTAGATGCCCCTTAATGGAAGGATGGATAAAGAAAGTGTGGCACACATACACATTAGAGTATTACTCAGCAGTAAAAAACAATGACATCTTGAATTTTGCATGCAAATGAATGGAAATAGAAAATACTATCCTGAGTGAGATAACCCAGACCCAAAACTATGAATATGATATGTACTCACTCATTAGTGGATTCTAGACATAAACAAAGGACATTGAGCCTATAGTTTGAGATCCTAGAGAAGCTAAATAATAAGGTGAACCCAAAGAAAACCACATATAGATCCTCCTAGAAATTGGAAGCAGACAAGATTGCCAGGCAAAAGTTGGGAACATGGGGGTGGGGGTGGGGAAGGGGAAAGGGGAGAGGGGGAGAGAAGGGAGAAGGGGAGGATTGGGGAGAGCTTGGGGGAGGGGGATGGTTGAGATGGAGGAAGGGCAGATATAGGAGCAAGGAAGAAGATATTTTAATTAAGGGAGCCATTTTAGGGTTGGCAAGAGATTTGGCTCTAAAGGGGTTCCCAGGTATCCACGGGGATGTCCCCAGCTAGGTCCTTGGGCAGTAGAGGAGAGGGTACCTGAACTGGCCTTGTCCCATAGTCACACTGATAAGTATCTTGAGTATCACCATAGAACCTTTGTCCGGCAATGGATGGAGATAGAGAAAGAGACCCACAATGGAGCACTGGACTGAGCTCTCAAGGTCCAGTTGAAGAGCAGAAAGAGGGAGTAGATGAGCAAGGAAGTCAGGACTGCAAGGGGTTCATCCACCCACTGAGACGGTGTGACTGATTTAAAGGGAGTTCACCAAGGCCAGCTGGACTGGGACTGAATGAGCATGTGATCAAACTGGACTCTCTGTGGCTGACAATGGGGGCTGACTGAGAAACCAATAATAATGACACTGAGATTTGTCTCTACTGCATGTACTAACTTTTGGGGATCCTAGTCTGTTTGGATGCATACCTTCCTAGGCCTGGATGGAGGGGGAGGGCCTTGGACTTCCCACAGGTCAGGCCACCCTGCCTTCTCTTAGGGCTGGAAGGAGAAAGGGGAGGGTGTGTGGGGAAGTGGGAGGGAAACAAAAGGAGGGGAAGAAGTGGAAATTTTGAATGGTACTAGTTATAAAGCAATAAAAATTTAAAAAACTGTTATTCTTTCTGTATAAATTTCCTAAGTAATATGAGATAATAACACATTCATTATTTTTTTTCTCAAGCTAAACTTTAAACTATTTGCCTAGAAATAATAATATTATAAAACTCCATGACAAATTTATGATATCAAACAAGTTAATCTTGTATAATAATACAGTCTAAAATTAAAATAAATAGATAAAACAATAAAAGATCTTAATTCAAATATTAGTTAAGCTTATAATTTTAAAAGGCAATAAAGTTTTAAGATAAATTTTCCATATGCTTTGAGTTCTGGAATTTCTATCCAATTAGACAACTTATATTATTATGAATTACCACATGAAGACAAAATTAAAGGCCTTTGAAAGACTTACCAGGTGTTTTCTTCTTGGACGCTATCTGATTTACCATGTACAGATTAAGAAGGTCTAAACTGGCAGTGGGGTTCTTGACAGGTGGACAAACTCCTAGAGATTTCATTTTTGATTTTAACTTATTCTTTTCAAAGTATTCCTAAAATAATTAAGAATTAAAAATATTAATTTCCCAACATAACAGTTCAAGGCAGAATCATATAAAAACCCACTGAAGTCACTATGCCACTGACTTCATGTGTCACACTTGTGACACAGCATGGGAACGGAAATCAATAATAATAGCTTGTAGCTTAGCTAAAGACTTTAAATCTTGCAGGTAAAATTATTTTCTGAAACAAATAACATATTCCCTTATATTTAAGAAAACTCAAAAGATAGAGCAAGTGCCTACTGAAAGACTAAGAGGGGCAGTGAGACAGCACAGAGAACAAAGCCTGAGGAACTGAGTTCTGTGCCCTGACCCTTAATAAAAGATAGCCAAGTCTTCTTTTGAAAGTTGTTTTTTGACCTCTACAGACATGCTATGATACAAGTGCATCCCATCCCCACTTGCACATGCACACATACACACACATGTGTGCACATATAAACACACATCAATAATAATAATAAAATTGTACAACCAACTAAGAGGAAAGCAAAAGCTACGTGAGAATGAATTGGCAACCAATGCCAATTTAACTCACTGTATCACAACTGCTTAAGGTTGTCCATAAACCATAACTTATACATATATAAATCAGACTTACATATATATATTATCCAGTTTATATATCCTTCCTGAATTTCTTTAGTTACATCCTCCACTTACTTAGTTCAAAGACATTTTAATTTTTAAAAAGTATTTACTTTTAATTGTGAGGGAGCACATATGTGAGTGAGTATACCCGTGGGGTCCATAAGATTGTTGTGGATCTGCTGGAGTCGCAGGCTGTTGTGGATCATATGATATGGATGCCTGAGCCAAATTCAGATCCTATAAGGGAGTTCATGCTCTGAAACACTGAACCACATCTCCAGCCTTCTTTATCAACATAATGAGCATCACTATTCTGTTTTCATAAAGATTCTAGGTTTTTTGATTGTTCCCTTTACCCCCTCCTCTTCAGACACCATTCCCACTATTACAGGTTCAATACAGGAAAGAAGACATGCAGTATTTGTCTTTCCAAGTCTAGCTTAGTTTCACTTAATTATTTTCAGCTCCACTTCTTCCCTGTAAACGCCATGATTTCATTCTTCTTTATAGCTAAATAGACTACCATGTGTATATTTTTTTATCCATTCTTCAGATGATTGTGTACATGCAGGCTAGTCCCATTCTGAGCTATCATGAATAGTATAGCTATAAACATGGCTGTGTATGTGTCTGTGATACGGTAATTCAGTGGTTTTCAACCTGTGGGTTGCAACTCCGTTGGGCTCACAGGGGTCACCTAAAACCATGGGAAAGCACAGGTATTTACATTATGATTCCTAACAGTAGCAAAATTACAATTAAGAAGTAGCAACAAAAATAATTTTATAGTTATGGGTTACCCCAACATGGGGGACAGTATCAAAGGGTTGCAGCATTAGAAAACTTGAAAAGCAATGCATTAAGAGCCCTTTAAATATATATCCAAAAATGATATCATTGGGCCTTGTGGTAGTTCTAGTTTTTTGAGTAACCTTCACACTGAGTTCCATAGTAACTAAACTCCCATCTACTGGCATAAGGGATACTTTTTTCCTGTATCCTGGAAAACATTTTTATTAGTTTTCTTGATGCAAATCCTTCTGACTGGGATGAGATGAATAGATTTTCAGTGCTTTTGAGACAGGGTCTCATTCTGTATCTCAGGCTAGCTACAACTCATTATTCATCCCAGCCTGGGCTTTGAATTCATAGCAATCCTGAGCAAACCTTCTGATTACTGACATTGCAGAGATGTGTCTCCAAACCAGCTGAGGTGGAATCTTAAAGTGCTTTGGATTTGTATTTCCCCCCAGGGTTCATGCCCCACGTTGGGCACCAAAATGTAATGGCGTAAATGAATGCAGACAGATTGTAAAAATATATACAGCTTTAATGGGGAAATAGACTTACAGAACCACCGTTCCCCGCGCTTCTAGCACACTCGCCAGATTTATAGATAAACATTAGCCCAAGGTGAACACGCCCCCTAAGGGGCGGGACTTATCCCTACACGCGATAGTTAAGATTGCTGAACATTGTTTTCAAGAGTCTATTGACCATATATTTCGTCTTTTGAAAACTGTTTATCCAATTCATTATTCCATTCACTGATTGTGTGACATGTTTTCTGGTGTTTACTATTCCAGTTTTTACCTCCACCAGATGTATAGCTGACGAGGTTCTCTCCCATCCTGTAGGCTGTCTCTTCACTTGGACATTGTTTCCCTTCCTGTGCAGAGGTCATTTACTTCATGTAATCTTATTTGTCATCCCTTGAAATTAGTTACTGTGCTGCAGGAGTCCTGGTCAAAATGTCCTTGCCTGTGCCTATGCCTTGGAGTGTTTTAGCTATGTTTTAAGACATTCATTAGTTTTAATTTTTATCTGCTATTATGCCCTTGACAAGGTAACAGACTATCTTCAAAACATCTTTCACTAAGTATTTCATAACACAGTGGTATAAGATTATGTGCAAATTAATTTTTCAAGCAGAAAAGTTCAAAATGACAAAAAAATGGAAGAGGTCACATATGCAAGTAGTTACTTAAGTTTTTAGGATATTAAGGCAATACGTCTCAAAATATTATCAATTGCAAACAACTTTTAATATTAGATAAAGGCCCTTCACCAAAAAAAACCCATCTTCTTGTAATAGACAGAGATCATTACAGAAAACCACAATCAATCAAAATGCAGAGAGAAAGTGCCCACGTGGTGGTGTCCAGCCTCTATTGATACATCTGTATCCAAGTCCCAGGGATCATAGCAGAAGAGACAGAAAGATTGTAAGAGCCAGAGAAATGAGAAGTTTGCTTTGAGACTGTGTCTCCTACATCTTCCCACATAGGCATGGATGACCTGGAACTCACTCTGGAGCTCAGACTGGGCTTGAACATGCAGCCATCTTCCTGTGCTTAGCTACAATTATAGCAGTGTGCCACTACGCCTGGCCACGGGGTGAACTGATTAATGACAAGGAGTGATTCAAGACTTTAATGTTACATTTGCTGTGACAGAGCTCTCATCACTCAAATGACAATGACCTTACCTTCTGCTTTCTTCTTTCTTGCTTTATTAGAACCCTGGTCCTAAAAAGATAAATAGGAAGAAACATACAATTACTAAAGAAACAGATCACTTCTAATACGATTGGCATTTTTGTTGAAAATCTGAAATTAAAACGTTCCTGTTATTTTCTGGAAATATTTTAAAGCATTTATAGTAATATTTCCACATAAAATTCTTAGGAAGTCCAAAATGCAATAAAAAACTATTACAATAATTAATAACTTATACAAAATAAATATGAGATAAGCAAAAGGAAAAGAAGGCATTAGAAATACTATATTTCTGAATCATTTCTCATCTGAAAACAAAATTCTTGGTCAACAACTCCAGTTTCCTTTGCTCTTCTTTACATTTCAACATTCTGGTTATATCACTTTGGAACAGACAGAAGACATCTTCAGGTTCTAAGGAACAGTGGAGTGTATTGCTAAAGCAATCCCAATAGAATTAATATATCAGTTATCTCAGCACTGAGCATTATGGCACACACCTGTAATTCCAGCAGTTGGGATGCTAAGGCAGGAATACCAGGCCTTTGAGGTCACTTTATCCTACAGAGTTGTTCAGATGTACTCTACGCAACACAGCAGGAATATGACTCTAAACACATTGAGGTCTGGAATGTTACACTGGTAGAACACCAGCCTAGCACCCACACAGCCCTGACTTTGATCTTTGGCACAGCAGAAGGCAGAAGGAAAAAAGAAAGCACTCCCTGCTCTATGTCTATTTAAGTTGCTGTAATAAAATACCACAGTTGGGTGGGTAGTCGAGATTGGTGCACAAAAAATCTCTATCCCAAGGTATGCTACTTTGGAATGATAAGTACTTTGTGGAATGCAATACTCAGGAGAAATCTCTTCCACTGACCTCTTGATTGCCTTCCTACTATTGCCATCTCTCCCACACAGTGGATCATAGAAAGTAGAACCTACTTTATACAGTCAGCCATAAAGTCTAGAATTAAACTTAGAGTTTTATGTAAGAGCTGGCTATCTTTTCCTGATCTCTCTTATTTTATATATATTATAGAATTCAGTTTGGAAGGGATCTTGGCTCATACCTGTCAGGAAAGAATGCTACATAGAGAATCTAAAAATAGGCTTTGTGGGTTTCTACTCTCTATCTGTTATTACTAAGTCATTCTTTTCATGGCCAATCACTCATCCTCATGGGCGTTGATTCTTCAGCAAGTCTGAAAAGAAATGAACACTGTTCTCTGGACTTTTGGTTTTCATTTCTGAAGCTCCCCTAGTCACAGGAAACTGAGTAAAATAAATGTGCTACACTGCTCTCTTCACAGTCTGGCTTATGTACAGGTCGGTGGCGGCTGTGACCTTTATGATGAGCAGGAAAGAGAATATACTTTTCTGCCTAAACTGTAACAACAGAATTTCTCCCAGCTTTGGCAGCTGTATAGACTACAGTCAAAATGTCCAGATCCACACCCTACCTAATAGATGCCCATTTTCTAGTTCACAGATGAAGACTTTATGTATTTGGTTACATAGTAAAGGATATCCTAGATCTCTGGATCGTCTTTTGTAAAAGCTGGAATCATAATCATAAAGGTTCCTGTCTTACAATTTGATCACATACCACAGATCCCAAACCTCTCCACACTATAACCTAGGGATTAGGAAAATTCAAGTCCCAGTCCTAGATGGTGTCAGATAATATAAGAACATTAATTGGGAGGTAGGTGTGTGAGAGGGCCCTACTGAAGCTGAGAACTTTGAACCCTCAATTTTCAAGGGTTTCTCTCACCTGAAGCAGTAGTCTCTCCAGCTACTCAGCAGATGGACTCTCCCCCTACTCCCTAAAATATAGCCTTTTCTGCCTTTTACTGGGGAAAATAATCCTTTGCTGTCAGATAAACCAGAAGCGACTTTTCCTGAAGAAGTTGCCAGGCAAAACAATACTGATGTCCCTCAGAGCTCAGCAATAGTTGCCCTTTGACCTAGAACCAGACTGAAGGCTAAGCAGGCTCCTAGAGGGGAGCTAGAAAGTGCAGTCCATGTGCAGGTGCACTACATGACTATAGAGTGCAAGGAGTTTGCGAATTCATTCAAGTAGAGCTTGGAACATATGTGTGGGAATGGATTTTAAGGGTGAGGGATATTGTTAGACGAAACATAAAACTGGATCAGGATGAGTTTATTGATATTGGCCCACTGAAGGGAGATTCTATGTTTTTATATGGAAGTTCACGCATTTAAAAAAGGTCTCAAAAGTTTGTTTGGGTGGTCAGATGAAGCATTTGTCAAAAGGTGGACTACTGAAAAGGAGCTGGAGATGCCTGATACCTCATGGCTTAGTGTTGATGATCTTAAGGTTTGGGGAAATTGCCATGCCAGACTGGGTACAGTGTATAAGACCTTGTCTTCCCCAATGGGAAGGCCCAGAAGACATGCCCTTCACTAATCTTATAAGACGCCAAAGGGTGACAGAGACACCTGCACTTTTGAAGAGCTTTGTTGTCACCATTTTCTTTGTGCCAAACCTTAGGGTTGAAGATGTTATTGTTCCTTTGGATAGGCTAAATGCAATGGGTTAAACTGAGGTAGCAGGGGCCAAGTAGCACTGAATCACCAGAGCTAAAGTGATCATAGTTATGGTAATAGGCAGCACAGGTAAAGCAATGTTCATAATGACCTGACTGTAATGGTCAGCACAGGCAAAGTGAATTCTATGGTGGCCTGACTCATCTGCACCTTTAGTACTGGTTAATCAATCATGGTATTTCCAGAGATGAAATATATTTTTAAAAGCCTACTGTGCTTCTGTTGATCTATAGAAACAGAAAACTTCCCAAACAAATTAAAGAAAGTCTCCATTGGATTATAGCAAAAGGGAATCTTGGCCTGTGAACCAATTTCCAGACTGAAGCCATTTGAAAATCTAGAACCCCGTGAGTAAAGGAATGGCCAGGTTCCACTGAGGAAGGACCTTGATAAAATATGTAAGAATTTTATTGTTAGTCTTTCTCTAGTCCTTTCCCAGAAGGACCTAAAGCCTTTTCCAAAGGCAACTGTATACTAGGGAAAAGGAAATAAACAGACTTTCTAGGGTCTATAGTATACTGGTTCAGAATTGAGAATGATTCTGAAAAACCCTGAGAAGCATTGTAGCACTCCAATTAAATTAGATGCTTATGAAAGTCAGGTCACTAATAGAGTTTTGGATAAGGTCCAACTTACAGTTGGTCAGAGGTCCCTAAATTCATTCTATAGCTATTTCCTCAGTTCCAGAATGCATAACTGGGATACTTAGAAGTTTGCAGAATTCTCACATTGGTTCCCTGACCTCTGGGGTGAGGGTTATTATGGTTGGAAATGCCAAATGGAAGCCGCTGGAGTTTCTTCTGTCAAAGAAAATAGTGACTCAAAGACAATATCATATCCCAGGAGGAACTGCAGGAGTTAATAGCACCAACAAGAATTTGAAAAATACAGAATGGTGGGGCCCACTATAACCCTTAACTCTCACATCTGGCCAGTACAGAGGGATGGATCGTGAAGAGTAAAAGCTGATCATCAATAACTTAATCGAGCAGTGACTGTATGTCCAGCTGCTGTACCAGATGTGGTGCCCTACTGAGCGAGTCAGCACAGCTCCTGGCATGTGGAACGCAGCTGTTGGCCTATCGAATGCCTTTTTCTTAGTACCTGTCTATAGGAAGCAATTTTTAAGTACCACCAGAAGAAATTTTCCATTTGGCAAGGCCGGCAAGACACCTTTACAGTTTTACCTTGAAGCTATATTAACTCTCCAGCCCTGTGTCATAACTTAATTAGAAAGGATCTTAATTATCTGTCTCTTCCACAAAATTTTATATTGGTCCACTATACTGATAACATCATGTTGATTGGATTAAGTGAACAGGAGGGAACAATCACTCTGAACTTATTGGTAATACGTATGTACATCAGAAAACGGGAAATAAATCCAATCAAAATTCAAGGACCTACTACCTCAGTGAAATCCTGAGAAATCCAGTGGTGAGGGGCATGCAGAGATATCCCTTCTAAGGTGAAGGATATGTTATTGTATCTGGCCCCTCCCACCATCAAGAAAGAAGCACAACTTTTAGTGGGCCTATTTTGATTCTGGAGACAGCACATTCCTCCCTTGGGTGTTATTCTGACCCATATACCAAGTGACTCAGAAAGCTGCTAGCTTGGGGGATGGGGGAAGTTTGGAAACAGGAGGCTGCTCTTCAACAGTTCCAGGCTGCTGTGTAGTCTGCTCTACAACTTGGACCATATGATCCAGCAGACCCGGTGGTACTTTAGGTGTCAGTAGAAGATAGGAATGCTATCTGGAGCTGTTGGCAGGACATGTGAATCATAGAACAAAACTTTGAGGTTTTAGAGCAAGGCTCTATCATCATCTGCTGACAATTATTCTCCCTGTGAGAGACAGCTCTTGGCCTACTTTTGGGCCCTAGTGGAAACTAAACATTTGACAATGAGTACCAAGTTACCATAAACCTGAGCTGCCCATCATGAGCTAGGTATTATCTGACCCACCAAAGCACAAAATTGGATGTACACAATACAGTTCATTTTCAAATGATTGGGCCCAAGTGGGTCCTGGAGGCACAAGAAAGTTATATGAAGAAGTTCCCAAATGCCTATGGTTTCTACTCTTGTTACAATACACCTATAGGCTCATGGGGTAAGAAGACTAGGGCCTGGTTTCCTGATGGTTCTGCATATTGTGTAGGCACTGCCCAGAGGTGGGTAGCTACAATATTGAAGCCTGTTTTGGGACAACTCTGAAAGACACCAGTGAAGTAAAATCTTCACAGTGGGCAGAACTTTGAGAAGAACACATGGTCTTACATTTTGTATGGGAGGAGAAAATAGCCATATGTGAGATTGTTCTCTGACTCATGAACTGTACCCAATGCCTTAGCTAGATGGTCAGGGTTTGGAAAGAGCATGATGGAAAACTTGGTGAGAAAGACATCTGGGGAAGAAATTAGATGTATCTCTTCAAATGGGTGAAGAATGTG